ACACACACACACACACACACACACACACACACACTGGGGGGGGGTGCTAGTGGAGCCTCACAGCGGCGAAACTGTGGTGCGCTTACACTGTAGGTGTGCCACGTTTGGGGGTGCGGGAGGGGTTGCGGTTGCTAGTGGGGCCTCGCAGATGGGGGTGCTGCAGCCCCCTCAGCACCCCCCCACCTTCCCGCGTCCATTCACGATGTCTCACTGTCTCGCAGACCCCACGCAGCAAGCAGGAAATTAACCCAGCTCACACTGTCCGCTCCTCGCAGCAGCGAGCCGCGCAACGTCCCGCCAACACGGCACCCAGACCCCACGCAGCATTCTCATCTGTTTGTCCTTACTGGTGTCATTTTCTGGTTGCTAACGCCATTGTAACACATAATCACTGATGTTCCGCTGTAATGGTGGTAGACTCATCAGAACAGAGTGGGCGAGCTGACCAATCAGAGCACACTGAGCTCACAGGGAGCGGGGGGGCAGGAGCTCCAACAAGCCATTTAGGTTTTAGTGTTTTTAGGTGCCGATTAACTATCTCTTAGTTGGCTAGGTAATTAGTCGGCCTTATCACACATTTGAAAAAAGAAATATTTGTAAACTTTCGTTTCTTTTGCAAACAAATTCATATAAAAAATACCAAATAACGACAGAGGTAAGAAATATGTAGAGAAGTAAAAAGTACAATGTTTCCCTTGGAAGTGTAGTAGAGTAAATATATAAAGTAGCATGAAAAGAAAATACTCCCATACTCAAGTAGAAGTACTAACTTTAATTATTATTACAGTACTTGTAGTACATGTTCTTGGTTTCCACCACTGATAAACAATAATGTGAAAGTCAAGCTTATTTTTTTCGCAATATCAATCTGTTCCACAATCTCAGCAATTATCTCAGTAAGACGATGTAATAAACTGGATTCAACCTTTGAAGCTGGCTCGGGTGTCTCAGGTTATGTAATCAGAATCAGGTTCCAGCATATAAGCAGCGGTGGACGGTGGATACACAGAGGGACGAGAGGAAGAGTTTGAGAGTAACAGAGAGAGGCAGAATGGATGCAGAGTGAGAGGGGAAGTGATGGAGGAGTGTAGAGAAAGGCAATGAGAGTGAAGCATAGTCAAGAAGGGAGGTGAGAGGCCAAGAAAAAGAGAGTGGGAGAAGACAGCGCAGGAGCAGATAGATGGAGACACAGAAGAGAAGACGTGTGATACAGAAAGAGTAGGGAGGGGGTGGTAGCTGTGGCTGCAGCGTTAGTGCTTGTGAACGCTCAGCAGCAGCAGCACGAGTAATGCTGTACTCTAAGCCGCGCATTAAAACCTCTGCTGATTCACTAAAGCAGATTACTGACATTTTCCCACTTTTCCCTCCTGCCCCCTTCCTGAACGATGACTGCTGCACGGCCTTCATTTTTTCATCGTATTTGAGGAAAAATGAATGTATTGTTTTAGCATCAGCTATCGATACACAAAGAACTGCAAAGTAAAAAAAAAAGGAGGGAGGGCAGAAGAGTGCCCACACTGAGTTTTTACATACTGCACGCCTCTCATATTTGCCCTGGGGGTCTCCTGTCCGCTCTCCTGGCATTCAAACTGCAGTTCAACTCCTGCCTCTCCAGCTAAATATAGAGCCGGTATTGTTGTAGGAAGAATTACCATGTCCTCCAAAGTCATTAGAAACCATTACGCTCAGAGTGCAGGTGTGTGGAAGCAAGTCTTTTAAACCCGCTGGCTTTTGACTGGCTATAGATTGTACCTCCGTTAGACCCCTAAGCTTGTTTATATCAAAAAGGGAAGCTATCATATAAGCTTTGCAGTAACACACGTACCAGGCAATACTGTCAACATTATATATTTAAGGTTAAGTGGTGTCAAGAGGTATTTGCTAATTGGGGTCAACTAACACCTCTATATACATCCAATAATTCTTAACACAGACTTTTCTACTGTATGTGCAGAATGTACAATCTATAGCAGTTTTTCAACAAGAAAACTAGCTTGAAGGGAAAACAGATTGCACTTTAATAGAAGGTTGATAGAATCTTAACAAGCTTAAGGTCTAAAATAAGATTATGAATGCTCCAGTGGTTCCATTATCATTGCATCCTCTGCTTGTCCTTCCTTACCTCGGCAGGAACTTGAGTTGTGCGTTGAATCTCGATTGAGCTTGGATGAAACCCGTCTTTGGAAGGATCTCCATGTGTTTCCTCATTTCCGGGCACACCTCAAAGGTCAGCTTCAAGGCTGTGCTGGCTCTGTAATGCAATAGTTTCATTAGCTTAATGCTAACACAGCAAGTGCATACCGGTAAAAAAAAAGGGGGTTATGAAGGGCTGTCTGTACTGCTACTGAATAATAATGCACAGACAGTAACGCTCAGGCAATATTGCACAGGATATATTGCACAGGAAATGCTTTTGACTTTTTCTGGCATAAAAAAGACAACGTGAAAGCAGCGTTGAGGTAAACCATCCATTTCATATAACAGCAACAAAAACAAAAGAACATCTGCCAGGTGCAATGCCCAGTGGACCTTTACCTTTTACCCCCCAGGGACTGAAGAACAGACAGAGAAAATACTTTTAGTTTGAGTGACAGACAAATTGCATTTTATGGATTGATGTACCACCGAGTCCAAATCATTTAGGTCACCCAATTTTCCAGGAGCTCCAGATGGTTGTGCCTGTGGCTACAAGCCTCAGTTATAGCTGAAGCTATTTTATAAATGGCTCTTCACCTTGGGAATTCTCCAACACATCCAACCACAGCCCACACGTTTACACCTTCAGACAACGATGACAGCACAAACACAATGAAATAAACCTGTTTGCTGGAGGTGAAATGCGTGTAACATTTTGTTATGTCTGCTTTCATCCTCAGAGATACAAAAGGTGAGCGAAGAGTGAGCTGTGGCGCAATCGACCGAAGGGAACCCTCATTTTTCGATTCCCCCTCTCAAACGAAATGCCCCACTTTGAACAGAGAGGTCAACCAGATGGTTGTTTCCCCGAGGCAAGGACTCTCAGGAACACGTGGGGGTATTAAGTCGCTATCTTTATTCAGGCCAAATGATAACCTTCAAGAAACTCTCAGAAGAGTATTCATGGGTACATAATCATTTAGGGCAATTATAATTGTAATTAACAGGGGCATTTAGCTGATCCTATCTTTTTTACTGGCTGCATTACATTACATTACATTGTATTTAGCTGACGCTTTTATCCAAAGCGACTTACAATAAGTACAGTACAGGAAGATACAACCTTGAAGAAAACAGAATCATATAAGTACATCAGGTTTCATAGCTAAAACATTTCAAGTGCTACTCAACTGGCTATAGATAAGCCAGTCCTTTATTAGTATATAANCTGAGATTTCATATTAGCTGTTATTAGCACTATTACACACAACTTTCTCAGTGAGGTAGAAGTTGGAGTACCAAACACTGACTCCAGGTACTCATCTGAGTACCTCACTGAGAAAGTTGTGTGTAATAGTGCTAATAACAGCTAATATGAAATCTCAGTTTTTAACAAAAATTGAATTATGGATTATCAGTAATCATTTCAAAGTGACACAGAGACATTGGATTAACCTTCAGCAGCGTTTTATGCGTTTTAATGCCATTGAACACAACTTTTGATCAGAAAACAGCAACGGTATGACTTATTTTCCATTTTGGTCCCGTAAAGCTACGTTGTGGGTTGTCTGGGTTTGCTTCCCCAGCCACGAGTTTTGATCGCTCAGCGATGATACTTATACCCCTAGAATCTGTGGATGTGAAAAATGGCTTACCGTGGATTGTTTGTGCAAATCCGATAAGTAATAAAGTATTTCTACCGTGAGTTCTGTGCTAAGTGCTAATTCAGAGGCTTTGCGTTAGAGCTGTGTTTTGTTTAACAACAAATGGTTAATATCGTCAGTTAGCTGAGTTTCTTCCCATTAAGTGGGTATGACACATTAATAGGTTGTTAAATATTAAGAAACCCTGCCGGCTTAACAGGTTAATCCACTTTCTTGTACAATCTTTGTTCTAAAATGAAAAATTGAGAAACAGTCCCATTTATGATTAACTTATAATAATGACACAATTTAGAGGGTTTACAAACTCCTCCAAGTGCTCCATTACTCAGAATGTCTCTCTGTCTTTCTGTCTGTCTCTATCTTTATTTCCATGCACTATCATGATATAAAGTAGTAGTAAAATAAAGTTGGGATACATACTTTGGTACTCACCAACATAGCGAATTTTGAAGCCTTTCTTGTTTGTGCCGTGGTCTGAAGACCAGCGGACGAGGAACTGGTGGCCGGAGGTCGTGAGGTTGAAGGGCGTAGGAAGGTCGCCGCTCAGTGTCGCCAGAGTGGGACTGTTGGCCGTTGGACCTGAGAGAGAAGAAGAGAGAAAGAGAGGAAGAAGAGGAGTGAGAGAAATAAGGAGAAACAAACGAAATAGTAAAATTCAACTGTGTTTTGTTCTATTGTGGTACTTTGTATTTGTGTGGCTATTACTGTCCAGTGTTCCAATGGTGATTACTTTAACACTATTAGATTTTATGTCAGTTTATTTTGTATTTGTTTACCATCAAAGATCTCCAACACGTCAAACTCTTTCTCAGTGTGGAAACCTTCAAAGGTGATGGTGACATTGTATCCTTTTTCTACTGTGATGCTCCATGAACACATCTGGAGGTTAGGATAGCTTTCTGGCCAACCAGGACTCAGGATGACCCCCGACGAGTCGTACCGGACATCATGAGCAGGGCATTGGACTGTAGACGGAACATACATGGAGAACAATGGTTAGATAAGAATGCACTACTCTTGTTAGTTTCAACATATTGAACATTTGTTTACACACACACACTCACACACACACACACACACCCACACACACACACACACACACACACACACACACACACACACACACACACACACACACACACACACACACACACCTTGGCATGTTGGAGGAGCTGCATCCATCTGTAGTCTTTCTCCAAGCCGACAAGTTAGAATCCCACTGCCGACCAATGAGAATCCAGGCTGGCATCTGTACCTGATGATGTCACCTGAACGTGCAAAATGGATATAAATGATAAGTTATAAGAGAGCAAATACCTCTACTCCGATAGAATATGAGAGGAAATTATTATTATATACAGTATATTTATAATATATTATTAGAAATATATTTAATTTAAATCAGGTTTTAGATTTCAATTACATTTTTACATACAAAACATAAATATAATATCATAAAAATGATGCTTTGTTACAACAAATTACAACTATAACTGTTAAATATTGCCTACACATCAATATAATAGTATAAAAGTGAGTGACATTTTCTCGGGTTATTAGTTGTGATACTTTGAGTACATTTAGCCAATAATGCTTATGTACTTTTATAAGAGTAAATGTGTGTATGACTTTTACTTGCACTGGAATATTTCTATTGCAGAGCTATTGCTATATTTATTCAAGAAAAGGATTCAAAGACTTCAAAGTGTATCATTATGTGTCATGTGGTTTCAAAACTCAATTTTGAAGTAGATATACATCAAGTGTTGCATGATGTATTCACTGTGTTCAGTTAATGAGTATCAGATGTAAGGTTGGATACCCTTTATGAAAAGATGATATTGGGGCTGGAAAGTTACAAGTCTTAACTTTGCTTCCTCCATCAAATTGACATGTCTAGAGGCTTCGCAGGAAGACAGACAGACTCACCTATCTCCAACTCCCCGTCTTCCATCAGCATGTCAGCGTTGGGCACCTCTGGAGGAGGCTGGCAAACCCTTAATTGGTACGCTAGGAGAACAGACACAGCAGAGGAGGGGAGAGATGACAAAGGGAGGGACATTATATAAGACTGTGAGAGGAAATGTGGTCTGTAACCTGGTAAAAAAGGGGAATTGTTTTGAAACTAGCAAGAAGTAACTTTTATACAATGAATTTGACCAGCACAATATGTAAGGTTGCGGTTGTAGGCTGTAAACTGAGGAAACTTTAAAGGTCCCATGTCATGCTTTTCCGGTTATTACCTGTCTCCTTGTGTGTTATGTAGCTTTTTCTGCATGTAAACGGTCTGCAGAGTCACAAACCCTCAAAGTACACCCTGTAGCGAGTAAAACTCTAACACAGAAAAGACCTGTCCATGAACGCCTCGTTGGAGATTTTTTTTTTTCCATTTTTTTTTTTCGGGCAGGAGCTCCAACAAGGCGTGTAGGACAGACAGTGAATACACATACTACTGTATACAGATATGCTGTATGAGAAACCAATGTGGGTTTGGAACATTGAACAATGTAAATATATTCTAGTAGACCTCAACAATGGAATTATGATCAGTAGAAATTGCCATGTCATGGGACCTTTAAGGAAACCAAATCCTTACCAAATCCTCTTTTCTGTCAATGTATTCAATCCTGCTTGTTTTAGATTAGGTTCATTTTTGAAGTTAAGGTGATCAGGTCTAACAAAGTATGGAATCAAAGACCGAGCGGCTTCACAGAAACAGCACAGCTTTGAATCTTTAAGAAGGAACTGAATTCACAGCCACTGAGCTGAGGGCTGTAATCAATACTACTGCATGACCATATATCACTCACTAACAGAGAGAAAGAGAGGGAGAGAGGGGAGGACTAAGGGTGAGAGAGGGAGAAAGGGCTGAGGGCTATAAGTCAGGATGAAATTGACTATGAAAATGAGACCTGCCAATATTATCTGCTGCTCTCATGCATATCAAAGCCCTGTGGTCTGTGTGTGTGTGAGCCAGTATATGTCCATGGTCTGAGTGTGTGTGGGGGAGTGTAGCGATGTCTATGTGTCTGTGTGTGAGAGGAGAGGATCACTGTGAGCAGTCAGTGATCTCTGTAAGCTCCAAGGCCATTTTTTATGGCTGCTTCAACATTCATGTCACATTGGCTCTTTTAGTCTCACGTCCATGACAACATTATCCAAAACTGTAATGGTCCTCATCTCTGCATGGAAGCACTGGCATTCAGAACCTGGACCCAGAGATAAATAAATAGAAGGACAATGACAAAAGATAAACATCCCTAAACCGTGGATTGATGCTTCCTTAGGGGTTCATTTGGCATTTCCAACCAAAACAACTGCACTTTCACAGCTGTCTCCCAAGCAAACGTTGACATTCTGGATTTCCGCTGCGTCACTGACAGACTCGGAAGATTAAATGTTGGAACTTTGTGTCTAATTGTGACAAGCTTCTGCTGATGAAACTCCATCAGAGAAGGTGACAATTCCTCCTGGATATATATAAACAAATAATTGATCTGGACTAAGCGCAATCTCGCTCTCATTGTGTTTACCTGCTGTACGTCAATCTTGTTTTCTTGTTATATCGTCTAATAAAACAGAATTGAGAAAATGATGCTAACAACCCCTGCCATACATGTCATCCCCGTCCCCTCTTATCCATCATCACCTGTCACTCTCTGCTGTACATCCTCCAATAAAGCAGAAATTGAAAATAAACTTGAGTGAAAATGAAAGGTACAGTTCCTGTGTGAGTGTGACAGCTGGCAGTTAAAACCTGCCTACAGAAATTCATTAACAACCTGACATCTGTCTGAAAAGGGAAATTCTTCAAGATAAAACCACTTGACATGTGTTCACTATAGAGCATTGAACAGAAGACTTTTGAAGAAGTGAGAATAAGCTCCATGAGAGGGACGGTGGAAGATATGCACATATATGACTGGATGTGTTGTGAAGGCTAAAAAGAAAAAAGAAAGCTATACTCATTAGAAGCCATTCTGTCAAATGTATTCTTCATCCTGAAATGCACCCTCTCAGAACTTGACAACAATAAAAAATATAAGCAGTTTCTTTTTTGTTTTAAAACCTTGAAATACCAGAATATAGTTCATTAATTCTCTTTAAATGTTAATGTTATTTCTTTCTTATCTTTAAGTCAAAGTTGAAACATAGGATAAACATCATAACATGTTCACTTTGATTGTAAAAGGGACACTATAGTTTAATCTCATCAATTCAAACAGAGGATGTACAATACTGCTTTTTAATATGACGGTGGTTTCCTACATGTATGCAGGTTTAGTGCTTGTTTCAAAACAAAGGAGATTATCACTTAAACTGATTGAGTCTATGTGGTCAGCATTACATTTGTTTTCTCAAATCAGTAGATTCGTACAGAAAACATGGACAGAAGCCAGAGTGCCTGAGGATTGATGTTTGCAGCAAAAAGGTGAACTGAGAATAAAGACAACGGTGGAGGGTTTTCATCTTGAACCGCAGTTGAAAACAAAGGGAAGGCTAAGTGCTCTGAAGGACCACAAGGAAAATATTGAAATGAAAAACTGGAATGTAGACAGTTTTGACACGGATAAAGAGCAGATCAGAACTAGCAAAAAAACAATCTTCAAAAAATATGTGGAGGCATGAGGACATAAAAGACTCATCTCTGAGGGCGTTGTACCAAGAAAATGTTATCCAAGTCTAATTGTTTTTGTTGACCAACTTCAGGTTTAACTTTTCCTTCAGAATGACAAATTAGCTGCTTGGCAACACTAACACAGCTTAATTGTTTTTAACTACTTTAATCATAGAATCTAAAAGTGTGTTTCACTTTAGATTGTGTCATGTTCTTCTTGTGTGGGTGAAAGCTAAAGCTATTTAACCTTTTCAAATGAAGCTGCCAGAAATTCTCGTGAACAGAGACAAGTGGAACAGGAGGAAATATAAACAATGTTGAAAGAAAAGATTTATGAACACACTGAGGTTAAAGGTGGGGTAGGTAATTTTGGAGAAACCAGCTCGAGTGCGCTAGAATTAGAAAATACACAACCGGAAAAAATCTGCAACTTCCTTACAGAGCCCCTCCTCCAACACACACAAACGCGCACATGACCAATGAGGGCACGAGATCAGTTTGTGCACAGATGGAAGGCTGACAGGCAGGTAGGCCATCCAGTTATTTTAGCCGGGAAGCTAAAATGATTGGTCGTGCTTTTTACAGCGCAACGGCTTCCACAGATGACATTTTTTTAATGTAATTATTGTCAAAGCATTTAATATATTCATTGCTATTGGGATGTTAAGAGCATTCCATTGAATATAACAAAAAGTGTATCTGAAATAAATTACACACCCCACCTTTAAGTAGAAGTTACATTTGTCTTTCTCTATTCAGCAAACCAACGTTTTGCCGTTTTCCATCCAAGAACATCAAAGCTACTGGAAAGTACCAACAAATATGGAACATGCAAGGAAGTCAGAATGAAAAATAATCAAAGCATCTGCTCGCCCATTGTGTATCTAGAGAACAGATAAATAAACAAGCATTCAGCTGTTCAGTGTCTCTTAGCTTTTAGTCAATCAGACATTTGACAGAGAAATATACTTTTCCTTCCAACAATAGCGTCTTTTAGATATTGAATTCAGCAATGACATCATATGTACCTTACCTTACACTGATCTTTGGTCCAAATCATTGTATGCACACACATTGTACACTATATCTGTTTTTTTGTCTTTTTCTTGTCTTTTTCATTACTGCCGATTTGTATTCATATTTTATTCCTTTTTTCATTCCATTGCAATGTAAATACTGTCATATTTTACTATATTGTTATTATATATTTTTTTATATGTTTCTAGTTCTCTACCTGTGTTTTAATTCATGTTTTATTTGTATGTACGCACCATGACGTCAAGTCAAACTCCTCGTATGTGTAAACCTACCTGGTAATAAACCTGTTTCTGATTCTCATGCAGAATTAGTTTGACCAAAGAAAGGCTAAACTATGTGTTCTATAACCAAGCAACAGAGACCTTGAAAAAGCGATTAAATACCACACAGAAGTGAGTGTCTCATGATGACTCAGTGTTGTATGACTAATTTGTGATGTGTATTTCCTTCTTTAATCATGTAAAGCAAGGATAAACATTTAGCATGGTTGCTTAAGTACACTCAAATACGAGAGCTTTGAAATGTTTAACACATGTTAAAGTGTTTACTAAAGAAGACCTGTCTGTAGCAGCAACGCTATGATAACCATTAATAGCATCGCTGTGACTAACATACCCTTACTGTACTGGTAGGCAGCGACAAAGACGGCGAATTCAATCAGAAGGTAGAAAGTTCAAAAGAACGAAAAATCATGAGTAAGAATGAGTCAAAGGAAGCAGGTCTGAGTTGATGAGGATGGAGTTGCAGAGAGTCTAACAACAAACAGATCGATGCCATCACTGCTGCAGAAACTAATGATAGAATTATAGTTTTACCACTATACCTCAGCACAATGCAGCCAACAGTAGAGCAAGTTAATGAGAAAGGTTTTGTACCCAAACAAATTCAATGCTTCCATTACTAGCTCTGTGAAAAAAGAAGGATATTGTTGTTACTGTCTCACCATGGTAACTCAAGACAAAGAAGCCGGCTCCAGAGAAGTCTGAGTGGAATTTGATGAGGATAATGTTGGAAGTCGAGTAGACAGACTCCAGAGCTGTGTTCCCGCTAAACTGGCCAATTTGGGGAGAGGATTGGTCTGGACCATCCCTACAAAAGGGAAGAAACAGAGGAAAAGAAACACACACACACACACACACACACACACACACACACACACACACACACACACACAGCTTGTGTTACAAAGTGGGTGATCAGAGACTAAAGATCCATAAAGAAACGGACGTGATCTTTCTTTATGGAACAATATGAGAGAAAAAGTCAGCCCAAAACATAATTTGAATAAGTTATGGCGGCCATTTCTGACAGTTAAAATGCTATTTGTGATCAGGAAATGGTTTATCCGAGGCAACAAACAAAGATAGTAGGAGACTTGACGATATTCATGAGGCAAAACCTGGAGCTGCTCCATTGACTGCGAGTGGAGTCGGACATTGTCTGACAAAGTGCCGGCGCCCAGAGTGATTGTGCATGGTTATAGGCTCATCTTCCCTCTCGCAAAAACATTCCAAACTACAATGTCGGAAAGCTCATTTAGACATAACACTTTCACAAACTCAGATTCCACTCAACTTACAAAGGAGCAGCTCCTCTTTGTCTCCGGATAACAACACAGTTCTCTTACTCTTGCTTTGGGATACTCAAGTTCATAAATATTGATTGAAATGTCGTCAGATCATAAGAATAACAAATGCGAGTCCTGTTGTAGAATGGCTTTAGTGTTGCCACTAATATCAGCCTGGCATTCATGAAAAGTTACACAATTACCAGTGAATGCAGACAGGGAGACATCTGTCAACTGGCAGGTCATGCTCTGTGTGCAGCATCGTGAACATATTTCACCTTTAATGACCGACCCAGCAGCTGTCAGACTGGAACTAACCAATAGCTGGCTCATTATCAGTGATGAAAAAGTATCATCATGAGGTTAAATGGAATAATTATATCCTGCTGTTAAGTGTTTTTTGATGTGGCCAATTATACCTGTCAGGTTATGTAAGGAATGGTCCCCGCTATGATTCACATTGCTGATGCTAACACCCACTTACATTTATAAGCACACAATGGCAACATACAGAGTAAAGAGTAGGGTTTAGTGTATAAAGTAGCCAAAGGTGAAGTATGTGACATATGATAATACTTACAATGGCATCATGTAGTAAGCCTCTCAGTTTGAGACCAATTAGCAGACTAACTGACTGTCAGGTTGGCTGGCTCTGGACTGAGGAGACCGCTGTGAAAATCACACCTTTACTACAGACACTGCACTCTCTGCGGGAAGCCGGCTATGAGGCTGTGAGACTTGGATTGCGAGGTTTTCTTTTGTGCGTTACAATGCTCGTTGCTGTTCTTGCTTTCTGCTAGTTCCCCTGCTTTTCCACTTTTCCAAGAGACAGCTGGGTCAGGAGCACGCTGTGCGACCGATTCACGGAGTCCACAGAATCGGCTGTGGGTGGACAGCACATGGCTCAACAGAGTGGAGATGTGGGAGAGGCATGCTTTATTGTTTCCAGTTATGAACTACCAAACATTAAAGAACTCTATACACTAAAAAAGCCTCAATTCACTGGAAACAAGCACATGATTGTATTTGCAGTGACTACACATCTGTGAGAGGCAGTTCTCCAATGTCAAGTGTGTTTAGATACCCAACACCTTCTTGCATTTTGTACATATAATTGTGTTATACAGTACAATACGCAGCCGCTAACTGAATCATTTACAATTATAATCAAGCAATCTCTGGTTCAAACTTTTCAAATTAAGGATTTTTTTAAAGCAGCAGCTTTTACATTTTTTACTATTCTGTATTTGTGATCTTTGGCTTTTAGATTACTGGTAATAAGCAATTTGATGAAACTACATACATGTTTTAAAAGCATATCTTATTTCCTGTTGGTTGATTGCTTGTGATGTTGTTTCACCTTAAATGTGAAAAGATGGCATAAAAGTGCTTCCACAGGAAACAGTCATACCTGCACATTCAGATGGTGATACATGTCCTGAGACATAATTTGGTGCATTACGACGGGAACCGTGTGTTGGTTGTTTCTCAAATAGGACCTCTTTAAGTAAAGTTTTCCCAAATGTGAGCTAGATTTAACTGGAGAAACAGCGGTACATGTTATTGTAACTGATCTCCCTTCAATCATTCTTTCTGTAAGAGAATAAATGCACTGTTTTTGACTATTTATTGGTGTGTCAGCTCTTCTCTTGAGATAAAAGTCAGTGTCTATACGTATACTCTTATGTTAGATGATCTAGGGATTTGTTGGAAAAGGTACATTGGTTTTCAAGTGTTTAGTTGGATAACTGAGGAACAGGGAAAACAACACAACCCTTAAATCTGGAGGTTGAAAGTATATATGAGAGGCTTACAAAAGTACCAGACAGACGTTTGGTTCTTCTGTGTAGGTTAAAAATAAATGGGAATGTATTTCCAGCAAATTATTTCTCACACTCTGTTATTTTTGCTTGTTTTTCCTTCCTCGCCCTGCATCTCCGTGTCTGTATGCCAGGTGACGTTTCTAAACTGCACCCTGCTGTCTATTTATAGGAAACAGGCTATAGCTATAGAGAAGGGGCAGCTGCATGGCAACCAGAGAAAAATAGATTATACAGCCTATTTATGGTGCTGCTGCCACCTTGTACAGGCAGATAACCGTGTAACATGGTATCTAAGCAGTGTTTAAACATTTTGCATTGACAAGATGTCAGCTGTCCTTAGGAAGAATAATGAAGTGAGAAGTCAAGGCTGGGAAGGTAGGGAGAGAAAGACGTAATGTATATTACTTATAAAACCAATTGAGCCTTGGAGACAGTGTGAGAAGCAGAGGGTAAAGGGAGAGAGACTTATAAAACATGACAAGAAGGAAATTATGTCAGACTAGCTTTATATTCAATGGGAGACGTCTGTAGTCATAGTAACCCTTGCAGCAGTTTAGCCAATTAGTGGCCGTCTTTGAAAGGATGTTAAAGAGCATGACTCCCTGTGTGAGAGAGGTGGTGTGTGTACAGTAGGAGAAGTTTTCGGCATATGTTGAAACAAATGTGTAGATCATGAGGATGAATAGTGTCCGTTTAGAGGTAAAGACGTAGAAAACGAGTGAATTTCATTCGTAAATAACACCTACCAGACAGTGATGTAGTCATATATGGGCTCGGTGCTCAGGACAGTGAAGTTGATGTAGATCCCGTGTCCAGGAGGAACTCGGACGCTCCACACACAGTCCTGGAAGTTGGGATACTCCTCAGGGTGACCAGGAGAGTAAATGGTTCCATTTAACGACGTGATGTTTCCACCACAGAGAGCTGCGAGACAGAATATTAATAGAATTACCCATAATGAATTACCAGCAAATTAATTTTACCTTTGAGAGGCGTCAGTGATGATCTGGATGACTGAGAGAGGACACATCTCTATCAGTCATATAATGACCACTGGATAACACCTAAATGCCTTTAATACATTCTCATTACGGTTTTATTTCAATTTCGGATGCTCAGGTATCCTTTCCAGCAGGGGTGTGATTTTAACACTGCTGAGAGCTAAAAGGCAGAGTAAAGTTAATAAACTGCTCTCATTTAGTTGATTAACTGCTATTGCTCGAAACAGTAAATATAGGCTTAAAGTAAAACATGTAAAAATGGATTAGTCTGCAGTTACTTTTCATAACACTAGCATAATATAATTTAATGTATTACTATTTCACTGTGGCAATATATAAAAACAATGTTCCAGACGCCTCTCCTATGCCCTCAAGATTTATTCTACACTCCCTTGCAATTTAGCTTTTTTGCTATTCATCAATTTTTAGTAGGGATAAATTACATTTTGTGTTGAGTTAAAAGTTGCATATGTTTAATGTGTTTTTTACAATGTTCTCTCAGCATACATTTTAACATTAACTGTTTATACTGGAGTATAAGTACAGAGGGAAATACTGTTTAAAATACTATTGTTAAGAAAACAGTGTTTGCAGTTATGAATATAAAAAAAAATATGTATAGGTTTAACAGTTACAGCTTAAGTAAAATAATTTACAAGTTAGGGAATTCATTGTCCCTCAAAAACTCTTCTGTACTGAAAGAATAGTAAACCAGGCGAAGACAATTAAGCGCTAGGTTAGGTGTTGTCGCTGGGGAGGAGTTATTTTATATATTCAATACGGGCACAAAAACTAAACAGTTAGAAAAATGCATTAACCACTATTGTGTTTTCCGCTTTCAGCAACAAAACACATGTTTACCTCTCGCTGTCAACAAACGATAATCACGTCATTCTGAACACAGTTAGTTCTGTGTTACGCTCTCAACATTCGTGGCAGGTGGGTGATTCCGAGTTGCCTGCCATGATTCCCGTGTGGTGTAAACCATGCGTGAGCGACGCGTCGCCGATCAGAGAGTATCCCGGGCAGACATTCAAACGAACACCGTCATCCCTACGCTGAAATCTGCTGGCCAGATTCACGATGCCCATTTCGAAGAAGGCCGGAAGGGTCTGGGACAACTCTGGCTTCGGTAGGCTGAGAACACGAAGGTAACCAAGATTAGGCGAAAAGAAACTAGCACAACTAAAGAACAAACAACGGTTCAAGTTTCTGTCAGGGAAGAATAACAAAGATCACTCAGGTTTCTAGCCACTTGGATACAAAACAAATATCCTAAAAGACTAACGTTCATAATTCCTCCGCCTGTTCTTCCAGCTTGCAGATTCTTTCATGCAGGAGACACAGAAAATAAACAGCTGCAGCGATCTCTAGACACAAATTGAAGGATTACTACTTTGAAAAAAAGGAGGGGTGTCATGTGCGCACCCAAAACAAGCATCATACTTGCTGGCCTTTGGATGTTGTCACATTCTGCACCAATATAAAAAATCTGGGGACAGATGCCATTATAACTGTTTTGCGTCGCAGTGCAATGTTGAGCAGAGCCAACAAGTTTAAGATGAGTTCGAAGAAGTGATTTGCGATGACTGAAGAGGAAGACAATGTGAGCTGAACGAAAGAATAAAACACTGGTTCAGTAGAAATAATAGTAATTCGGAGATTATTTCGGCTGTTTTAAACACGGCTGGCGGAGTGCCCCTGTCACGGAGGATAAAATGAGGGGTATTATTTTCATGAGTCGAACTGGAACTTTGCACGATAAAATGGCAAGTTAGCCGTAACACATTGAGGGCGGTCATCTAGCGAGATATTGTCATAATAAAGAATTACGAAGCCCTGACTGAAAAAAAGCGTCTGGTTTTTTGAGCGTGCAGATAGATTAAATAGGAAAAACTCAGTTTCTCGGGATCACGCAAAACGAATCGCGTCAAATGGAGGTTTTCGACACCCTGCCTTTTTTTTGGCAGGAGGTGGATTTTAGGAAGTCAAGAAAGGAGTTTTATTTGTTGCCTGCAAAAAGGGAGAAAAATCGATTTTGTATTCGTCGGGAACGCACCTCCCTTTTGAAATTAAAGAAATAGAATAAGGTCAAAACCAGTTTTCCACTT